TCCATGCTCAAATGATTTTGCTGAGGGGATATTTAGCTTGAAGTTATCACATTGGGCTGACACCAGGAATCAGTATAATGTGGGCTTGATAAGAACAGAGCTGCGAATCAAAGCGAGTTTTACATTTGACAGTGTTCAGTTTTACCGCTACAGAAACTAAAAGGATGTCCTGAAGGTTGCAAGCAGTTCAGAGAAGTATTATTTGCCATGGAAACAGAAAAGCAAAGATATCCTACTGTATTAAGGGACAGAAATAAATATGTCATTGTTGGTTTTTTTTAACTTGTGATAAAATATATACAACATAATATCATTTTAACAATTTGTAAGTATACAATTAAGTCACATTAAATACTTTCACAATCTTCTGTCACCATAACCACTCTCTATACCCAAAACTTTTTCATCATCCCCAACAAAAACTCCATTACCCATTAAATAATTACTTTCTCCCCACCCTCCAGCCTCTGGCAACCACCATTCTACCTTCTGTCTCTGAATTTGGCTATGCTGGATTCCTCGTCTAAGAAGAATCATTACCATATTTGCCCTTTTGTGACTGGCTTATTTCACTTAGCATGTCATCAAGATTCATCCATGATTCATCCATGTCAGAATTTCCCCCTTTTTATGGCTGAATTCCCTTGTATGGATAGACCACACTTTATGTATCCATTCATCCAACACCTAGGTCGCTTCTACCTTTTAGCTATTATAAATAATGCTACTGTGAACATTGGCATATAAGTATCAGTAAGGCCCTGCCTTCAGTTCTTTTGAATATAAACCCAAAAGTGGGCAGGGCATAGTGGCTCACACCTATAATCCCAGCACTTTGGGAGGCCGAGGCGGGTGGATCACCTGAGGTCAGGCGTTCGAAACCAGCCTGGCTAACATGGCGAAACCCTGTCTCTACTAAAAACCCAAAAATTAGCTGGGCATAGTGGCACGCACCTGTAATCCCAGCTACTCAGGAGGCTGAGGCAGGTGAATCACTTGAACCCAGGAGGGTTGTAGTAAGTGGACATCATGCCATTGCACTCTAGCCTGGGTGATAAGAGTGAAACTCCGTCTCAGACAAACAAACCAACAAAACACCCAAAAGTGGAGTTGCTGGATCATATGGTAGTTCCGTTTAAGCTTTTGCGGAACTGCCAAACCATTTCCCACAGCAGCTGCACTATTTTACATTCCCATCAGTCATGCACAAGCGTTCCAGTTGCTCCGCATCCTTTGCCAACATTCATTATTTTCTGAGTTTTTTTTTATTATAGACCTCCTGGTAGATGTGAAGTGGTACCTTACAGTGCTTTTGATGTGCATTTCCCTAATGACTAATGATGTTGAGCATCTTGTCATATGCTTCTTGGCCATTTGTATATCTTCTTCGGAGAAATGTCTATTTTAGTCTTTTGCCCATCCTTGAATTGGGTTGTTTTTTGTTGTTGAGTTTTCAGAGTTCTTTATGTATTCTGCATATTAATCCCTTATCAGATACATGATGCGCAACTATTTTCTCCCATTCTCTAAGCTGTCTTTTCGCTTTCTTGATATTATCCTTTGATGCACAAAAGTTCTTAATTTTGACGAAGGTTAGGTTGTCTATTTTTGCTCTCATTGCCTATACTTTTGTTGTCATATCCATGAAATCACTGCCAAATTCAATATCATGAAGATTTTCTCTACTGTTTTCTTCTGAGGGTTTTACAGTTTAGCTCTCAAGTTAAGGTGTTTGATCCTGAGTTAATTTTTCTATACAGTATTAGGTAAGGGTGCAGTTTCATCCTTTGCATGTAAATTTCCAATTTTCCCAGAAGCATTTGTTGAAAAGACTGTCCCTTCTCCATTGAATGATCTCAGCACCCTTGTCAAAAATCCCTTATTTCTGGGCTTTCTATTCAAAGCCATCAGTCTATATGTCTGTCCCTATGCCAGAACCACACTGTTTTAATTACTATAGACTTGTAGTAACTTCAAAGTCAGGAAGTGTGAGTCCTCCAATTTTCTTCTTCTCCTTCTCCCTCTTATTCTTCTCCTTCCCCTTCTCCTTCTCCTTCTTCAGGATTGTTTTGGCTGTTTGGGGCCCCTTGCAATTTCATATGAAAATGCTGTTGGAATTTTGATAGGGATTATGCAGAATCTGTAGATTACTTTGAGTAGTACTGACATCTTAATGATGAGTCTTCCTGTCTATGAATATAGGATGTCTTTCCATTCATTGAGGTCTTCTTTAATTTCTTTAAGCAATACTTTATAGTATTCATTGTGCCAGTCTTTCACTACCTTTGTTAGATTTATTCGTAAGTATTGTTTTAGATGCCATTGTAAATGGAATTGCTTTTTCTTTTCAGATTGTTCATTGCTGGTGTATAGAAACACAACTGCTTTTTTTGTGTTGATTTTGTACCCTGAAACTTTGTTGAATTCATTTATTAGCTTTAGTAGCTTTCGTGTGAATTCTTTGGGATTTTCTATATTTATGATCATGCCACCTACGAATAGAAATAATTTTGGGGCCAGGCATGGTTCCTCATGCCTGTAATCCCAGCACTTTGGGAGGCAGAGGCAGGCAGATCATGGGGTCAGGAGTTCAAGGCCAGCCTTGCCAACATGGTGAAACCCCGTCTCTATTAAAAATGCAAAAAATTAGCTGGGCATAGTGGCACATGCCTGTAATCCCAGCTACTCAGGAGGCTGAGGCAGGAGAATTGCTTGAACCCAGAAGATGGAGGTTGCAATGAGCCGAGATCATGCCACTGCACGCCAGCCTAGGCGACAGAGCAAGACTCCATCTCAAAAAAAAAAAAAAAAGAAAGAAATCATTTTGACTGGGCAAAGTGGCTCACACCTGTAATCCCAGCACTTTGAGAGGCCAAGGCCGGCAGATCACTTGAAGTCAGGAGTTCAAGGCCAGCCTGGCCAACATGGTGAAATCCCGTTTCTACCAGAAGAATTGCTTGAATCCAGGAGATGGAGGTTGCAGTGAGCTGAGATTGTGCCACTGCACTCTAGCCTGGATGACAGAATGAGACCCTGGGAAGAAAGAAAGAAGAAGGAAGGAAGAAAGGAAGGAAGGAAGGAAGGAAGGAAGAGAGAGAGAGAGAGAGAAGAAAAGAGGAGGGGAGGGGAGGAAAGGGGAGGGGAGTGGAGAGGAGAGGAGAGAAGAGGAGAGGAGGAAGACAGGAAGGAGAGGCAGGCAGGCAAGTTGGGAGGGAGGGAACGAAGGGAAGGAAGAGAATTTTACCTCTTCCTTTTCAATTTGGATGCCTTTTATTTATTTTTTTCTTGTCTAATAGCTCTGGCTAGCACTTCCAGTACAATACTGAATAGTAGCAGTGAAAGTAGGCATCCTTGTCCTGATCCTGATCTTAAGGAAGAAAAATTTTAGTCTTTTACCACTGAGAATCAGGTTAGCTGCAGATTTTTTATAAACACTCTTTATCATGTTGAGGAATTTTCCCTTTATTCCTAGCTTTCTGAATTTTTTATTATTATCATGAAAGGGTTTTGGATTTTTTCAAATGCTTTTCTGTGTCAGTTGAAATGATCGTATAGGTGTTTTTCCCTTTGTTCTATTAATGTGATATATCACACTGATTTTATGTTGAGCCACCCTGTATCCCTGGAACAAATCCCACTTGGTCATGGTAAACCATCCTTTTAATGTACTATTGGATTTTATCTGCCCATATTATGTTGAGCATATTTGCATCTATATTAACAAGAGACATTGGTCTGTAATTTTCTTTTCTTGTGACATTTGTACTTGGCTTTGATATCCAACTGGTGCTGGCCTCATAGAATGAAGTCACTGCTTTATATTAAATATAAGTGATATGTGTTTAATCAGTTCTATTTTATTTGTGTTTGCTTTTTTAAACAGTCTTACCTCTATGTATGTTAAGAATATATAATATAACCTACAAAATTTATTTATTTATTTGTTGGACACAGGGTCTAGCTCTGTCACCCAGGATAGAGTGTAGTGGCATGATTGTGGCTTACTGCAGCCTCCGCCTCCCATACTCAAACCATCCTCCCATCTCAAACTCCTGAGTAACTGGAACTACAAGTGTGCACCACCATTCCTAGCTAATTTTTTGTATTTCTGGTAAAGACAGGGTTTCACCATGTTGCCCAAGCTGGTCCTAAACCCCTGGGCTCAAGCGAACCTCCTGCCTCTGCCTCCCAAAGTGCTAGGATTACAGGCATGAGCCACTGTGCCTAGCCAAAAGTTTAAATATTCAATACTTTTTTTTTTTAAGAGACAAGTTCTCACTCTGTCGCCCAGGCTGGAGTATAATGGCATGGTCACAGCTCACTGCAGCCTCAGCCTCCTAAGCTGAAGCATTCCTCCCATCTCAGCCTCCCAAGTAGGTGGGCCTGGAGTAACTGAGACTGTAGGCTCACATCACTATGCCTGGCTAATTTTTTGGAGAGACAGGGTTTCGCCACATTGCCTAGGCTGGTCTCAAATTCCTGAGCTCAAGCTATCTGCCTACCTTGGCCTCCCAAAGTGCTGGGATTACAGACATGAGCAGCCACCACACCCAGCTTTTTGTTTTTAGACAGGGTCTCATTGTTTGGCCCAGGCTGGAGTGCAGTGATGCCATCATGACTCACTGCAGCCTCGACCTCCCAGGCTCAGGCCATCCTCCCACCTCAGCCTCCCAAGTAGCTGGGTGGTCTCCAAGGCTTATCCATTAGCTAATGCTTTCCCTTCAAGCCCCCCATTGGCTCCACTGCTCACCGATCCAGTCAGACTCTTTTTCCAACAAAGTTCAAATGTCAACAGTGCAGACACAGAAATACCTGGAAACTCCTTGCATTTGCGGACGGAAGGACATGCTCTCCCCATTCCCAGGCAGCTCCGTGAACACTATGGCCCGGCCAGGTACAGCTCACCGAACCCACCCAGGAATTTTATACATGGCAATAACTCTTCCGCTATCACCAATTCTGACGAATGTGATCGATATTGTAAGCTTGGCCACTTTTACCTTGGAAGCAGACAGGATCCATTTCTTGTTGTTGCTAATGGCAACATCCATCACCCAGTCATTATGGCCCTGAAGAAATATCAAATTTTAATGAAAACCTGGAGAAAAAAATTTTGAAAGAACAACAAAAACAAGCTGGGTATGGTGGCTCACACCTGTAACCTGCCCTTTGGGAAGCCGAGGCGGGAGGGTCACCTGAGCCCAGGAGGTAGAAGCTTCAGTGAGCCATGATTGTACCACTGCACTTTAGCCTGGGCAACAGAGTGAGGTCCCATTCTAAAAAAACAACAAAGAGTCAAGAACCCAGGGTTGCTAACATTTCAGAGTAGCTGGCTGAGCGCAGTGGCTCATGCCTGTAATCCCAGCACTCTGGGAGGTTGAGGTGGACAGATCACTTGAGTCCAGGAGTTTGAGACCAGCCTGGGCAATGTAGCCCGTCTCTGCTAAAAATACAAAATATTAACTGGGCATGGTGTGACATTCCCCTGTAATCCCAACTACTCAGGAGGCTAAAGTGGGAGAGTCACCTGAGCCCGGGGAGGTTGAGGCTGCAGTGAGTCATGATCACGCCACTGCACTCCAGCCTCGGCGACAGAGCAAGACTGTCTCAAAAAAAAAAAAAAAAAAAAAAAAAAGAGCAGAGCAGCTCATTGTACTTCCTTGGTTTCATCAACAACATTTAGGGTGGAATACAAAGTGTAAAGATGTGGGATATATGTACATTCTATGTTTTTTTGCTGTTGTTTTTTGGGGGTTTTTTTGGTTTGTTTTTGAGACAGAGTTTTGCTCTTGTTGCCCAGGCTGGAGTGCAGTGGCGCAATCTCCACTCACTGCAACCTTCACCTCCTGGGTTCAAGCGATTCTCCAGCCTCGGCCTCCCAAGTAGCTGGGATTACAGGTGCCCATCACCATGCCCAGCTAATGTTTCTATTTTTAGTAGAGACGGGGTTTCACCATGTTGGCCAGGCTGGTCTCAAACTCCTGACCTCAAGTGATCTGCCCGCCTAATCCTCACACAGTGCTAGAATTACAGGCATGAGCCACCACGCCCTGCCCACTCTATATTTATTTATTTAGTTATTTTTATTTTGAGACAGGATCTCACTCTGTCCCCCAGGCTGGAGTGTAGCAGCTCAATCATAGCTCACCACAGCCTCTACCTCCTGGGCTCAAGTGATTCTCCTGCCTCAGCCTCCCAAGTAGCCGGGACCACAAATCTGTGTGCCACTGTGTATGGTTTTTTAAAATAGTACTCGGGTGTTTAGCAGGATTGGGGGAGAAATATTATATTCCTAGCTGGTCTCAGGTTTTCGTTTGCGTTCTTTGTTCTAGGGAATACCCCTCAGAGGCCCTGTAGGCGAGGGGCTTTTGGCTCCCAGTAACTGCAAACTTGATCCACTGTGGCTTAAGCAGAGGAGGAGTGGGATGTTTTCTTTAGGTAAATAGGAGCTCAGAGCAGGCCGGGCGCGGTGCCTCATGACTGTCATCCCAGCACTTTGGGAGGCCGAGGCAGGCGGATCACGAGGTCAGGAGATCGAGACCATCCTGGCTAACACGGTGAAACCCCGTCTCTAC